ATCCCAAAATCAAGCGTTCATATACTTGATCCATTTGATATATGATCACCAATTTTGGTACCCCTTTCCACCTACATTGAATAACGACGAGACACCCTTGCTTCTCATTTCTTCGAAGAAAATGAAGAATAGAAGCTAAATCCAATTTTGGCACTGCGTCGCAGTAATGGTGCCATTGATGCAAGCACATGTATCAAGTCATTTCTGTCTTTGCATCATGTGTATGCTTCACATATAAATACCCAGTCTCATGGATAGAACTATTAGCAGGTTCTGGTGATAGAGAGCTTGCTCAATGGTGTATAATCTATCGCTTGACTGAAGTATATTATACTTTATACCAGTCAATGAAATATTCACCATCCATTTCTCTCCCAGTTCGATGATTTGTCGCAGGATGTTGGATCATTTTGCTCAAATTTAAGTTAATCTACAAGTGCAGAATAAGTAACGGTTATTACCATTTTCATTATTATTGTTTAAATGGTCTTTTTAAACGAGCTCCCACTATTTTACTCAAGCCAATAGCCCTCACTATTAAACCGGAAAAGCCCGTTGACTTTCCTAGTGGACTGAGAACCCATCCTGCATTTCAAACCTTTGCTTTGGCGGACAAGCCAAAATGAGTTGATTAGGTAGGCCAAAAACTTAATCTACACCAGTTGATAGCTCCCACTATCAACCTCAAATGTGAGAAAGCCAACAAGCCAATCCACAATCCAATGGACACTACATGCCATCGTCCTCAAGTGTGATCTCAGTATCAGTAGAGTGGACACTACATGTCACCACGTACACACAATATATGTACTGCTCTACTTGCCTAGACAAGCGTTTATCAACCTTTGCTTTGGCGAACAAGCAAAACTATCATTTTAAGTCGACCCATTCCATTAAGGAAAACCAATGCATTTTAACTTCCCTGGTAGAAGCATACCCTTTGCTTTGGCGAACAAGGTTTCGACGAACAGTGGTTTGATTAAAACCATGGTGATGGAAGGCTTACGTGACTTATATAATTTAGTTGAGGGGTTTGTTATTTAATGTCTCACTAGATTATTATCTTTGTTAGAATGACATTGTTTGACATGTTCTTCAACATTCAACCTTAGCATGCATTTAAACATTAAATAACATGCGGTACATGGCCAGCTGAAACCGATTTCCTCGAGCCTAGAGGAATCGGTGGGTCAGCTAAGGGTCGTAATAAACATCTTGAGTCTCAAGTATGGTTGCCTCGTCCTTTGCTCCGTCTTCAAGTACATTACAAAAATATCATTCTTAATTTACAATAAAAATTATACAAATTCTTTACATCAAAATTTAGAAACCTCGATTTACATTCGCGGGGGAATTAGATGAGAAGAGAATGTACATCGAGAAGAGGAGAAAGGCAGGACACGCAGGCCCTATTAATAAATAATACAACCATACATACCCAAAATATTTTTAACATCACCCTTAGGTCTAAGGCTCATGTACCGGACACCATGCAATATACAAACAAGTACAAAGCATACATTTCAAAAACAATCAATTTTTGGGTACCTTCGCCGGGCAATTTGGAAATTAGTGGGTTAATTACAATTTACCCCTAACAATTTACAGATCTCGTTTGGTCCAAAGTTTTAAAACTTTGCATTTAGCCCCTACAGACTCGGAAGTGCACTCGGGGCAGCGATGAGTTAGACGTTGGGCTTTCGTTGATTACTTGATGTTCACGTTAACGTACCTTCGCGCGGCAATTTGGTACAGCGTCCATCAAGGACGATCGCCGTGTGGCGATGGGTTATATACCATGGCAAGCGGGTGTTTGGTACAGCGCTCATCCAGAAGACGATCGCGCGGCGATGATTTATATCGCCGGGAAGTGCTGGTTTCGTCACCAGCGTCGTTAGGGGCGATCACCGCGGGATGTTTTATCGCCGCAGCGAGCGCTGGTTTTGTCACCAGCGCCAGCAGAACATCGCTCGCTACGGCGATGGTTTATATCGCCGCGGCGAGCATACACAGATTGTGCTCCGAATCTATTCATACAGTAACATACACTTAAACGGATTTGCAATCAATCAAACACATTGGTCTCAACAAAAATCCACCAACCATTATACCAAACCAGCAGATCATCAACAAATTAAATTAATCGATTAATCAATTTCTTAAAAACATGTTTTAAGACAGATTTACGCAGATTCAATATGGCAACATATATCATCAAATACATGTTATCAACCAACACATAAAAATTGTAAAATTAGTACCTAGGCTCTGATACCACTGTTAGTAAACGGTCCCGTATACGCAGCGGAAACAAAAAAATATATAACCTAGGGATCGTTTACATGAGCCAAGATCAAGGGTATGATTTTACAATTTTATCATAATAAGAATCTGAGAAAATATTAACATGAGTTAAGAGAAACAAACGCACGTTGGAGGCTCCTCCAAATTTGTCGACGAATGTTGCTACCGATCCAAGTGTAGGATCGAAGCGTAGTTCACACGAAGACAATCTCAAAGAACCAAGGGGATTTGCTAGATCCCTTTGGCTTCAGATTAAGAAGAAAAACAAACAATTGAAATTGATTTTAGGCAATTGTTTCTGCCGTTGGAGTGTCAAATGGGGCTATGTGTTTTTTTTTTTTAAAGAAAAATCTACATAATTTAATTAACACACTTTTCTTTTATAGTAAAAACAATTTGCCCTAATCCATACGGAATAGGCTTGGGCTTCAACCCAAACGCCCCATGTTGCCAAACACTCCCAATTTGATTTATTTTTTTCCATCATTATCTCAATTAAAATCAATAATATATATTTAAATATATATTAACATTTAACAATAATGATAATATATAAAATTGTGTGACACACATTTAAACTAATTCACTTATTTAATTTTTCTAAACAATTAAATAAAGGCTACGACCTCAGCAATTTAATTGCAACTATGAAATTACCAAAATACCCTTTGCCTTAAAAGATGAAATGCCCTTCTTCTTCTTGGATCTAAATGTTCTAGTGTGTGACCTATAGGCTCCTCATCAATCGGTAGTGTATAGTATCGCGATTAACACCAATATTGTCTCACTAATACACAGACCAAGATTGGCCCTTAACAAGGTATCATGGCCACCCGATAGATTCGGATTCAGCAAAGTAGCTACCTATCAACGATATGGTTACCGTGCAATTCGATCCTTCATCATATGTGTCTCGATGAGACAAGGCATAGAAATAGTGTCAACTTCGGTTACTCTCGATATATTATTCAGTTTCTGGGCCAATGACGTATTATAAACTGGATAAAGCAATAACTCAATCCCACTGTGGCCACAGTTTAGGGTCATTGCCATATCTGAATGCGCCGTGAGAAACTTTCTCCATACCGGGAGTGATGAATCCTCTGTCAATCCACCATAGTCTTGATACACTCCTTGATGCAGCCAACACCACCGTATGATAGCTCTGAAAAGAATTGCGTTAGGCTAGTGTAAACCAACACCAATTGGTGACAAGGTGCTCCAGTGACTCAAGTCTAAGGATCACATGCACCACCATTCGTTAGAGGATTTGTTCCATAGACACTGGGGTTACCATCCATATGGAATCCTCTGGTGGGTCAGTCTAGTGAACTTGCTGCGGTATAATCACCTACAGCAAGCACCCATGTGTTGCACCAGGTTGTCACCAAACAACCTTGACAAGTGAGATCAGTCACTGCCTTTCGACAGGGTCGTTCAACACTATGATAGCCTTACCATATTATCTGTGCCTTTACTTCAGAATAATGCTGGGGCTACGAACGTTTCTAGAATGGCCACCATATGTGCTCATAGGGTTCTCACTATCAAGATTTAAAACACTTGATACCATCGTCACGGTTCTACCATTCTAAGGACATATATCAATATATATTGCAATAATAATGATTTACACGATATAGAATAAAGTTGTCTTTTATTGATTAATGAACATTATTACAAAGAGTCAATTCTACAATAATTTTGGCTCTAGGGCACCTACTCCAACAGAAATAGCCTAAGATGTGATGGTAGGCGCCCAGCCCCCTCAGACTTATAGTGAGGCTTTGGAGCGAGCTTTACAAGCTGAAGTATTTGTGAATAAGTTGACTTCATTAACTCCATTAGTAGCAGTGTCCAATATTCCACCTCTCGCTGCACAGAGAGACAGATTGGATACCCGCAGTAATAGAGAAGGGAAGAATAAGAAAAGATTCTAGTCAAAGAAGAACAAAAGGGACGGGAAGAATAAACGGCCAATGGCTATTGAGTTTCCCCAATGTCAGAAATGCGGGCAATATCATCCGGGAGAGTGTCTTAAGGGTGTGTGTTTTAGATGCCGACAGCCTGAACATATGATGAAAGATTGTAAGGCCCCTCCTGCACCCATAGCACAGACATCCAGAGGTACTAATGCTTGGGTATTTACAGTTGCACAGAGTGAAGCTGAGGCCAGCCTATAGGTAGTTACTTGTCAGTTATTATTTCATTCAGTTCCCCTTTATGCATTAGTTAATTCTGGAGCCACATACTCATTTATTACACATGGGATTATAGAGAGATTAGGTTTGAAACCTAATACAGTAGATCAGCCCATTAAGATAGAATTGCCAGATGGTGACAGTGTGGTAACTCGGGAGATGCTTCCATGGGAGTCCGTAGTGATCCATGGAAGAATGTTGCCGATAGATTTAATTGTGTTTGACATGCTCAATTTTGATGTTGTTTTGGGCATGGATTTCCTAGGGAGATATGGAGTAGAAATCGATTGCCAAAAGAAGAAAGCAAAGTTTAATCTTGATGATAGCGATAAGTTTAGTTTCGGAGAGGGTCATCAACTTAGTATGTTAATCAGTAGTGTAAAAGCTAGAAAAATGTTAAGAAATGGTGCTCTGGGTATATTGCCCATATGGTGGAAAGCAATGATGACCCTCGATCAGAGATCCAGAATGTACCAGTAGTCTAGGAGTTTCCAGATGTATTTCCGACCAGATGATTTGCCAGGTTTACCTCCAGAAAGAGAAATGGAGTTTAGCATTGAACTGGCACCAAAGACAGCACCGATTTCTAAAGCCCCTTACCAGATGGCCCCAACTGAGCTTCAGGAGTTGAAGAAGCAACTTCAAGAACTCCTAGATAAGGTTTTTATTCGACCCAACCATTCTCTTTGGGGAGCTCCAATCCTATTTGTGAAGAAGAAAGATGGGTCTTTACGGATGTGTATAGATTACAGAGAGTTGAATAAAGTGACAGTAAAGAACAAGTACCCGTTACCTCACATAGATGACTTATTTGATCAGCTGAAAGGAGCAGCAGTATTTTCAAATATTGGTTTGAGGTTGGGTTATCATCAAGTAAGAGTGGCAGAGCAAGATATTGCCAAGACTGCATTTCGGACCAGATATGGGCATTATGAGTTTGTGGTGATGCCATTTGGGTTAACCAATGCCCCAACAGTCTTTATGGATTTAATGAACTAGGTATTCCATGATTGTCTTGATCAATTTATGGTGGTGTTTATTGATGACATCCTGGTTTATTCTAAGACAAGAGAAGAGCATTTGAGATTTGTGCTGCAGCAATTGAGAGATAAGAAGTTGTATGCGAAATTTTCTAAATGTGAGTTTTGGCTAGATCAAGTTATCTTCCTGTGCCATACTATCTCAAAAGAAGTTGTGTCAATAGATCCCAGCAAGATAAAGGCAATCTTAAAGTGGCAAAGGCCAAAGATAGTGAAAGAGGTTAAAAGTTTCTTAGGGCTTGCAGGTTATTACAGGCGATTTGTAGTAAAATTTGCCCAGTTGGGTAAGCCGCTTCCAGATCTTACCAAACAGGGAACTCCTTTCATATGGTCGAATGGTTATGAAGAAATTTTTAAGAGTTAAAAGGAAGATTAACCATGGCTCCTATTCTAGTGTTACCACAAGAGGGTGTAGATTATGATACTTATACAGATGCCTCACTTCAGGGACTTGGTGCAGTGTTGATGTAGTTGGCTAGGGTAATAGCCTATGCTCCTCGACAGTTGAAAGAGTATGAGACGAGATATCCTAAGCATGATTTAGAGTTGGCCGCGGTAGTTTTTGCACTAAAGATATGGAGGCATTACTTATATGGAGCAAAGAGCAATATTTATACTAATCATAAGAGTTTGAAGTATTTCTTCACCCAGAGGGAGCAGAATATGAGACAGAGGAGATGGTTAGAACTGGTCAAAGATTATGATTGTGAGATTAAGTATCAGCTTGGAAAAGCTAATGTAATAACTGATGCCTTGAGTAGAAAAGCTTATTTGTCCCAACTCACAATGCAGAAAGAACTATTGAAAGAATTATGCAGGGAACAGATTGAGGTGATACCAGGAAGGATTGTCAGGTTGGAAATTCAGTCTACTTTACTAGAAGAAATTAAAGAAAAGCAAGTTGTCGACGAGTGGTATCAGAAAATAAGTCAACAAGTGTTGGAAGGCGAGAAATCAGAATTTCACCTTTTAGATGGTGTCCTCCGTTTCCGAAATCATATATGTATTCCTCAAGATGTTGAGTTGAAGAAGAAGATTCTTGAGGAGGCTCATAGCACACCATATATTGCTCATCCTGGAGGAACCAAAATGTATCAAGACTTAAAGAAGAGTTATTGGTGGCCAAGCATGAAGAAATATATCAGAGATTGTGTAGCTAAATGCCTGGTTTGTCAACAAGTTAAAGCAGAGCACCAGAGACCATCAAGACTGCTTCAGCCATTTAGCATTCCTGAATGGAAATGGAAAGATATATCAATGGATTTCATTACAAGCCTTCCAAGAGTTCAAAAGGGTTATAATGCGCTATGAGTGATAGTAGACAGATTAACCAAATCAGCGCATTTTCTTCCAGTAAATGACAGTACCACCTCAGAGCAGTTGGTCCATATCTACATCAGAGAGATAGTTAGATTGCATGGGGTGCCCAAGATAATAGTATCAGATAGAGATTCCAGATTTGTTTCAGCTTTATGGACTAGTCTATAGAGAAACTTGGGTACCAAGTTAGCATTTAGTACAGCTTACCACCCACAGACAAATGGCCAAACTGAGAGAACCAATCAGGTGCTTGAGGACATGCTGATAGCGTGTTGTATGGATTATAAAATGACCTGGCATAAGATGCTACCATTGATAGAGTTTACTTACAATAACAGTTATTAGTCTACAATTAAGATGGCTCCTTATGAAGCTCTAGATGATGTAGAGAGAAATATGCTTTGAATGTAGCTCTTGGACCAGAGATAACTCAAAAAATGATGGAAGATATTAAGTTGATCAGGAACAGAATGAAGCAAGCTCAAGACAGACAAAAGAGCTATGTGGATTCAAAGAGAAAGGATGTAGAATTTGAAGTGGGTGATAAAGTGTTTATTAAGATTTCCCTCTACAAGTGGGTAATGCGGTTTGGTGGTAAAGGAAAACTTGCCCCCAGATACATTGGCCCCTTTGAAGTATTGGTACGAATAGGAAAATTAGCTTACAAATTGGCACTACCACCAAATATGAATAAAGTGCATAATGTGTTCCATGTCTCACTACTTCGAAGGTATATTAGTGATCCCTCCCATATATTAAAAGAAGAAGAAGTGGACTTAAAAGAGAATCTTGTTTACGAGGAGCGTCCAGTACAGATATTGGATAGAAGGATTAAAGAGCTCTGAAACAAGAGTATTCCATTAGTAAAAGTCTTATGGAGGCATCATAAAGTAGAAGAAGCTACCTAGGAAGTATAGCAAGATGTACGTAACCGCTATCCTAAGTTGTTCATTTGAATTTCGAGGACGAAATTCTTTTAAGGGGGGAGAATTGTAACACCCACATCAAGGTACGTAATTTTACTTATGCCCTAATACTCTTAGTTGGATTTCTTTGAAGTTACCTTAGATAAATGTGAAGAAAATTCCTTAAAAGTTCATTAGGGGTAAAATGGTCTTTTCACTCCTAATTAGATGAAAAAGTGGGAAGTGAAAGGAATCAAAATAATGTGAAGAAGATAACAAAAATGAGGGTATTTTAGTAATTGGCTAAAGGACATAGATGGAATTTCATAAAAAGTGTAAGGACAAAATGGGAATACATGCTTATATTATTTGATATAAGGTTTCATTTGAAGAAACCCTAACCAAAATGCAGCCCTTGCTCACGCCATCTTCTCCCCATTTTTTCTCAATTTTCTTCACTAAATTTCAAAGGGAAATCATTGGATTTAGCTTGGATTTTCATAGATTTTCAATCCTAAAGCATCCTAAGGTAAGATTCTAGCAAAAGGAGTGTGATTAAACTTTAAAGTTTTAAATTTTTATAGTTTTTGTATGATCTAGGTCCAAGAGGAAGAGATTCTGAGCAAAAGGGAAGTGATCTCACATATTCAAGGTAAGTAAACATAATTTGAACCTTAATTTGAGCAAGACTTGTATTGAATGAATTTTTGCATGTTTGTATGTGATGGTATGAGAGAATTATGGGCTGTTTTTTATGTTTATTGATGTATAAATTCTAGCCATGAGAAGTAATGTATGGTTATGTGATGATTTGGTGAAGTTGTGGAAGACTTTGTATGAAATTTTTGGAGTATAGAGAAGTGAGAAATTCGGCCAGGTTTGATACTAAATTTAGTGAGTTTTTGGCTCACAATTTGGTTGAATTAGAGAGTTGTGGAAGTGTAGCCAACATGGTAGTTGCATGTGCATATGAAGTATTTAATGAAAATCCAAAGAGAAATTGCATGCATGAGTTGGCTAAACCCTAATGAAGAAAAGGTTAGAGAAAGGCAAGAATTAAAGTTTGATTGTCTATTATTGATCTTCTAACATGTTTTCATAGGGGAGAATGGTTAGGAAAGGTTAGGGAGTAAGTGGAGATAAATAGGTATGGAAAAGCCTTAAAGTAGGCATGTTCCAAGGTTGCTCTGTCAAATCCGTGACCTTCTGATTGATTTTTGGGCATCTTACCTATCGAACTGGGTTGAGACCTAAGCATAAAAGTTGTAGCCCTTTCTCTAATCTTTAAAATGAGACCATGACCATAGCAATACAATGTGTATAACTCGAGATATGCCTTCTTGAATATGACCTGTGCAGAATGACTACCTCAAAGGTGCTTCCAATTTATTAGTTTATTTTTAATCTAATAATCTATGATTGATTCCAAGTATGAAAACGATGCTTAAAGGGTTGTGAAGCATGTTTGTATGAGTGGTCTTTGTGATTATTTAATGATTGTATGAACATATATATTTGATGTAATGAATGACCATGGAGGCTATGTGTAATATGTTATATATTACCTAAGTATGAGCTTGTGTACGTATAAACAAGCTTAGAGATGATATGTTTCTATGGATTTGTTATACATCCACGAAATGGTCATGATGAAATGATATGTTCATATATGGAAAGTGTATGTTTTTAAACAATGCAAATGTAGAATTTCCATAGCTTGGAAATTCATGTTAAAATGTGTATAGTATCTCTTTTTATTCTCTTTCTATAGTATGCTATGATATAAGGTTTTTGCGATGGGGCACCCGTGAGTGATAGAGATGCCCACATACACGTCGCCACGATCGAGCGGCATTAGAAAAGAGATATAGTATTTGTACAATTTGTGAGTAGTATATGTGGATGAGGATTATACCCAACAGAGCATACCTATATGCACACCACCACGAGCGAGCAGCCACAACAGAGAGATACGGTACTTGTACAGTTCGTGAGTAGTGCATGTAGATAAGGATTGTACCCACTCACATGGCAAGGGTCCCAAATCCATGCATCAACCTAGTCCGATCGGCAAACTAGAAAGAAGAAATAAAAGAAAGAGAAACAGAGAAGAAAAGAAAGAGATACAACATAAGAGAAACAGAAAAGATAAGAACGTTCTTTTCTCAGGAAAGTTTATTATTCTGTATATGTATTATGCTACTTACATGATTCAATAATTTTATGTGCTTGACGATGTATAGTTTTATTCATTATGTATGCACGTTGGTAAGTAGCAAATCATAGTATCAAAAAAGAATGTAGAATATCATAAAAGAATACAGAATACCAGAAAGGAATGAAGAATATTAGCACAGAATAAAGTGAGAAAAGGAAAATCAGAACATGAGTAACAAAGGAAGAACAGTCGTGCAGTTTGGTTTACTTACTGAGCAATTAGTGCTCACTCCGTTATTTTACTATTTTGCAGGTACTAGATGATTTATGACCGGGTGGGACATCAAAAAGCGGAGGAGTTTGGCGGCACTGTTCAGGATTACCTTATGTTTACTAAAGTATATCAGTATTTTTGTGTATATATTTATATGAATTAAAAATTAGAATTTTTGGATTTACATTATGTATATATGTTTGTAAAAGTTATTTAGTGGATTTTATCTTATATTTCTTACAGAATTACTAGCTATACAGTATATTACAAAAACCCCAGTTGATACACATCAACACCAAATCATCCAAACTTTATATTAAACAAAGTAACAAGGTATAAGCAGCTCTGATATGATTATCGGTCTATGGATTGAGTAAACACAATGGAATACAAAAATTTTTCCTGATCCATAACCAAGAACCCTAAGATCCTTATACTCGTTTTACGTTATTTGCATATGAAATAAGCATTAAACAATAATTACATATTTCATGCCAGCATATGGAGGCTTCTTCAATTGATATGAATCGTTCCCACTCCAAGATAGGAATGAACTGCCGGTATCCACACGAAGCAAGACATCAATCTCTAAAGGGCTTGATGTGCTAGCCAAACTTGATTGGATTAAGGATGTGTGTGCAAAATTTTTCCTTAGATATATTCTTCTCCTTCAACAATGGATCCATGGTTTTGGGGGAGAGAGAGAGAGAGGGTGTGTGTGGGTGACTAGGGTTTTCTTTTTTTGAGTGAAATTATTTGTTTTTATTTTAATTGCACTTTAAATAATGCACAATCAAAAACCCTAATCTAATATGGAATTGCAATCAACTAATTCCGTATTTAGATTAGACATATTCAATCACCAAATCAAGGTAATTCCCATATGGTGTTTTAATTTCAAATTTAAATTAAATGTTATATTATCTTTATTAATATTAATATTATTTAAATATTAATATTAATTAATAATATAACATTTAAATACACACACACACACACACACATAATCTCACTTATTTTAATTTCCACATGAAATTAAATATAGGCAATGACCTTAGCAAATTTAATTGCACTGTGAGATTACCAAAATATCATTTCATCTTAAATGACAAAATATTCTTCTCACTAATTTATCCTTAATATGTCTTCTATGTGTGCAACCCGAATGCTCCTCGTCATATCGATAATGAATAGTATCGTGATTGAGACTCAATCAATCGTCTCACTAAACACAGATCAAGATTGGTCTCTAGAAAGGCATCATGACCTCCCGATAGATTCGGATTCATCGAAACAACTTACCTATCAACAATATGGTTATCATGCAATCAAATCCTTTCATCATACATTATCTCATCAAGGCTAAGGTACAAAAGTAGTGTCAACGTCAAATATCCTTCATCTTTTTGTATTCGATTATTGGCCTAACGACCATAATAGATTGGATTGAGCTAAAACCCAATCCCACTGTAGCCACAGATTTAGTGTCGTTGCCATTTACTGAATTGCTCAGTGAGATAATTTCTCTCATACTTGAGAGTGATGAATCATTTGTCAATCCACCATAGTCTTGATACACTTCTCAATGTAGCCAATCACTACCATTCTGATAGCTCTAAATAGAACTACGCTAGACTAGTGTCAAACTACACTAATTGGTGCACAAGGCGCTCCGGTGATCTCAAGTCTAAGGATCACATGCACCACCATCCGTTAAAGGATTTATTCTACAAACATTGGGATTACCATCTATATGGAATCCTCTAGTGGGTCTGTCAGCTGAACTCGCCTATAGCAAGCACCAATGTGTTGCACCAGGTTGTCGATAAACAACCTTGACAAGTGAGATCAATCACTGTCTTTCGACAAGGTCGTTCAACACTATGATAACCTTGCCGTATTATCTATATCTTTAATCAGAATATTACTAGGGCTACAAACATTTCTAGAATGGCCACTATATGTGATCATAAGGTCCTCGCTATCGAGATTTGAAACATTCAATACCCTTGTCACAATTTTACCATTCTAAAGACATACATTACGACATACAATAACTATGAATTACATAATGTAGAGAAACTCTTTTTATTGATTATAAACACTATTACAAGAGTCAATATTACAAAATGGATTGGCTCTAGGGCACCTACTCTAACAACACCATCTACAGGTACTCAATTGACTCCTGAGAAAACCGAGTAAGATGGGTGTGTGATTCTTGGGAATCAGCATTAGAGACCCGTGTCGCATGTGGCAGAGCTCAAGGTGGTGGTGAGCCTCCTAAGAGATGATAGATAAACTTGATGGTTTTAGGTTCAGCCATGAGAATGGATAAGGTCGACGTCCACTATTATTTTATTGCTTTGTGTGGCGTGGGAATACAAAGGATGGATTAATTTTCCAGTGATCGTAAAAATCCTTCTAATTGGTCGTGAAGGTTGGGAGTACAAAGGGAAATCTTGGTGTCTCTTTCTTTCTTTTTTTTTTTTTTTTTTTTTTTTTTTTAGTTCTCCCTTTCCTCCTCTCTTTTTTTCCTATGGCTACTGCCCTTTTATATGGAGAGAGAGTTTCAGAATGCCACGATGGTGAATGCGTCAGCCATGTTACTCCATGTCTCATGGTGGCCAAATGCTCACATGCCCCTACGTTGTAGCTAATGATGGATGTCCCCTCTGATAGTAGGTGCCTTTACATGCATCCTCTTGGCTAGGCTACATGGAGAGCATATGGAGCTTGTATGGCCACGTGTCATTCAATCAGAGTATACGTCCTATACGTGGTGAGCTGATCTATCCAAGGAGACATATATTTTTCTGGTGTGGGTCCCTTTCTTGATCTCGTCACACCTTACATCCGCACTCTCTTGTTGAGAGCTTGCGTTCCTTCCTCAGCTAGTCCTCCTTTCCGGGCTTGATGCTTGCTCCATGCTAAGAGGTGTCCCGAGTTCCTTTACTCAGTCCGGGCTAGGTATTTTCCCATACAACAGAAGAAGAAAAAAGTAATATGCATTTATTTTCTTAGTAGAAACTAAAATCTTGTATCTTTGATAAGACTGAGTTAATAATATATATGTTTGAAATAGTACTCAAGTTATTAATTGGTAGAATAATCTCTAAGTATATTAGATTTCATAGTAAAAACCGTTCAAACTGTAGAATCTTTTTAACATGGGAAGGGTTTGAACTCCACCTACACAAACCAGTTGCACACTATTTCCCCAAGTATATATCTTCTCCATATCAAAATGATTAACAAGGCTTTTCTTCAAAAAGCTTTCTCCAATGTGGCAAAATTCTTTCTTGAATCCTTATTTTATAATTTTACCTTAAATGTAAAATAAAGTGTGGCTTATTGATAGAATAATTAGGATTAATAAATCAGTACTATAATTTTAAATATTAACATTCATATATTAAAAGAGAGAGAGAGAGAGAGAGAGAGAGAGAGAGAGAGAGAGAGAGAGAAATACTCAATCTAACCATTTCAGTTAATAACTAAGTAAAAAGGTGATCCTATTTTGACTCCTCAATTAACTCCTCTTATAGCTGATCTTTGGTTTAAATGTAACAAATCTTGGCAACAAACTAATCAACATCTATTTTTACAATAAAAACAATGTCAGATTCCTCCAGCGGCAAAGCCCAATCGGCCTTCCAATCCCTTTCATCCATCATCACCTCCATCCCTCCCTCTCAAAGCCCTGCCTTTTCTCTCCTCCACGACCTTCGAATCGCCTCCCAAATCTCCACACTCCTACGTCAACCTGACTCCGGTGCTGGTGACAACAATCTCTGTCGTTGGCTTTATGACAGTTTTCAATCTACTGACCCAGATCTCCAGCTCGTTGTCCTTCGTTTCCTCCCCATTATTGCCGGCGTTTACCTCTCTCGTGTCACTCTCCGCAAACCTTTAGCTGGTTTTGAGGCCGTTTTGTTAGCACTTTACGCCCATGAAACCACCTCTCGTGCAGGTCAATCTATAACTATTAACATCCCCGATTTGTCCCATCCCAGCGTTTATCATGAATCCAAAACAATCACAAAAACAAACGCCACAGATTTAAACCTAGCGGTAATATCTCCAAGTTTGGAGCCTCATGGAACGGTGAGATCCACTAGGAGGGCTAGGATTGTTGGAGTTGCATTGGAATTGTATTATAGTAAGATATCACAAATGCCTATAGGGTCTAAGGTTGATTTTTGTGAATTTTGTGAGGGGTGGGCTGGTCTCGACAAGGATTCTGAGGGTTGTAAAGGTTTAACAAAAGAGAAGTTAAACAACGAGGGGGCAATATCTTTGCCATGGGAACTTTTGCAGCCTGTTTTGAGAATCTTGGGCCATTGTCTTTTAGGCCCTACGAAGAATAAGGAATTGTATAAAGCTGCAAGTGCTGCATGCAAGAGCTTGCATGCAAGGGCTTTGCACGATATCAATCCTAATGCAATTTTGGCTACTGGGAGTCTTGTCAGGCTTGGGAAAATAGACTTGGATTCAGACAAAGAGACTGACTATACTGAGATACCAAAAACTAATGTCATCTCTCTCTAATATCCACTATTCACTCTCCATAAATTTATAGAAGCAATGCCTAACTGTCTTGATCAAAATTATAAAATAATTTTGTCAACTAGAGATGTTTAATGTTTACTGATTCTAGTTCCCATTTAGTATGTACTTCTCCATATTTAATTTTCTAGTAAAATGCACCCCGACTATATTTCATGGCAATCAGGACGAACTCACATACAAATGAGTAGGGGCTGCTAACCCCACTCGAAAACAAAAATTCTTTAACTTGGTTTGTTTTTTCTCTTTTGATTGATCAGTATTAGTATTAATATATCTAGATTTGACCTCACTCCTTTATTTTTCGGGTATTTTATATTATTTTATTTTGAATTTGCCCCCTAAATTTAATTTCTAGGTCCCTTTTTTATGGTAATTAATATTTTTAGTATGTTCATGTATTAATACCTTTGGTTCAATGAAGGATTTCAAGTATTTTTATATGTATTATCCTCCTAATTGTTAATTATCTCTTATAATCAAGAGATATATGCAAATACAAGTAATATCTATAACATCTTTGAATGTGACTATTATGGTATCACTCATATTTGTTATCTCATAATATGTTGTCTGCATAGAATTTAAAAAGTATCTTCCACGAAATTTTTTTTTTTTTTCCTTTTCTTTATATGTCAAGAGAAAATAATTGTTGGTGCAAGTTGGTGTAGGGTTCTAGTTAGGAAGGGTGGGGCATGGGAGCTAACCCTTCAAAGTAGAAGGTTTCTGATAGCTCACTAGTCAAAACTGAAATGGTCAACTTTTGAATAGAACGAATTTCATTATAAATAATTCTTTTATTAGAGCCAGTCTGTTTCTATTCAAAACCGCGAAAAATATGTTTCTATTTTATAAGAGGAGACTTAACCTGTTCTTGTGGTCTTATAACTAGTCACCTTAAATACTCTACCTACGTCTTTAAAATGCAATTTGGGTATTAATTATGTCCATGTTCATGATAAGCCAATGACATGTGTAAAATATATATATATAAGAACAACAATAGAAACTCGCACTAACAAATTGCAATTGTAGTCCTATTGGAACAAAAGATATACGAGCTTATTGTGCGGCAATAAAAATCTGGCTCGAGCCCAGGGGAAGCACCAGGATTAGCCCAGGGGAAGCACAAGGATTCTAGCTCGGATGCCGCGCTAAATAAACCGAACAAAATTCTCACCCAAGACAGGTGTCAGTTCACAGCCAAGTGTTGACATAGCTCAACGCTTATTGCAACACCTGATGAGTCCACTAAGCTGCATGGGCACCATGTCCAGTACACGCAGCTGCTTCATTTAACCAACGACTACTCTCTGACAAACTCCAATTAATTACAGTTGTAACTAGGATTAAACGTAATAATGTCCTGACAATCTCGATCGCCCAAAACCTATCAAGGCCAATAGTAATCATTCCACTAACACATCCCCACTCATAACGGCCATTGCAACCCCCTATAAATACCAAGATTAAAATCCTCAAAAAAAAAGAGAGAGGCAAATAGAGAATAGAAAGAGAGAATTTTTTTTCATATCTGTTGTAATCAAGTTCTCTGTAATCACACATCTTGATAGAAAGAAACAGTGGACGTATGCTCTATTTCTTGTTTAGCCGAACCACTTTAAAAAGCTCGCCTCTCCTTTATCATTACTTGTCATCATCGCCTTCTATTCCAACCTTGTCCAAGCCATACACGCTCGCCTTTGCTGATAGGAATCATGCTTCCATCTTACTCAATTCCTCCAATGGTCAACTGAGTATCTTTAGTTGACGTGTGTTCACGTCTTGACATTTAATTGGTATAAGCATTCGCATCAACATTTTGGTGCTAGAAGGAGAGGCTAGGCTTGAACACTTCAATTGAAGCCCATTCCAATTCCAACTCGAAGAATGTTACCAACGGATCAACCATTACATCCCGCTGAACAAAAGAGAACCAATAAGAGTCAGAATGCTACAAATTAGGTAGACACTTTCAAAATAGAAAGCCCATGGAATGTCCATGAAGTTGCCAACAACTTCCCACTGGTCGTTCTACTCCCTCTAAGAGAAAACCACTAGAACGTGAATAAGTCTGACCTAGAAAACCCACCATACGTAGAAATGTTCCAGAAAATCACTCACGAGATCAGTAGTCTCCAACAGGTGGTAACAGACTTTAGGGGGACAAATAGGAAAAAACCCTCAAACCTATAGGATATTAAGTCACCAACTCCTATTTAGGAATAGGGGTGTTTAGTTCCGGGTCCTTGCACTTTTTGAAGGAACCGAAACCGGAACCGACGGTTCCTTGAAATTTGCAACCAGAACTGGAACCGATGGTTCCAGTTCTTAGGTACCCAGAACCAAAACCTGTAACAACGGTTCCGGTTTCGTTCTGGGTACCCTGTAAAATTATAATGACCCCCCAAAATTTTTTAAAATGGCAAAAAAAACCCTTAAAAACTTACAAATACTCCCCTACCTGGCACTTGTTAATAAAAATAAAATTACAAATTATAAATTCAAAATTCAAAATTACAAACTCCATTACTTTGTAAAGGTAGATTATCAAAAGTCAAACCAACTTACTTTAAATGGTATGAAATATAAATATAAATGTATTCACATTACTTTTTCTACAAAAGTTTTTATTAACCCCCCCTAATATTTAATTTTATTTTATATTAATCTCGGTTCTTGGTTACTGGTTCTGATTTCGGTTCCTAACTATAGGAACCGGAACCGGAATCGCACAGTAACGGTTCCAGAAATTTGGAACCGGAACCTACCCATTGACGATTAGTTCTGGGTAGGAACCAGAACCAAACCTAAGGTACCTACCGGTTCCTGTTCCAATCGGTTCTTTTGAACACCCCTAGTTAGGAACACAAGACTATCGAATAATACTCCAATGTAGCAAGAGGGTCACAGTAAAATCAATTCGATGACAGAAGGCCATTGAGACTAGAATGCCTGAAACGACGTCCAAGAAAACAGCTGATGGTGGAAGAAGCAAACCATCGGGAGCTAGTCTACTCCTAGCAAAGGACCAATCAAGCTCAACTCGTGGGGAAAGTCACATGAGCATGCTCCTAACGGATGCGTTCAAATCACATTTCACGTCATCGATCGTGTCGTTCGAGATCAACATGTCAGCTCAAACCTGCGTCGCAATGGGTCACAAGAGTCTACTCCCGACAACCCTTATTACCTAAGCAACTATGATTGTTCATCACAAGTGAGTGCACCCAATGAGAAAAACTAGTAGAACCTTGGCTCTGATCTCCGCATACACCTCAACGCTTAGAAACCCAAGCTCTGCCACTCGCTCAATCAGAATAAGGGGATCGCAATCCCTCTAGGCAATCCTCGGATTCACGTTCAACTAGAAGACATGCAGAAAATGCTTGATGACCTGCGAATTCGACAAGTTGAACAAGCAGCAATAGTCTCTGGCTCTCTATTTCCAAAAGAGATGTGGCTAGAACCATTACATCTTGGGTTCAAGACCCCTAACATCAAGTTTAGTGGGGAAGGCAACCCTCAAGACCACCTTGACACCCTCAATGATCTGATGGAGCTGTATAAGGTGCCCGACCTTGCTAAATGTCGGTACTTCGCAATCACCCTCATGGGCGACACAAAAAAGTGGTACAAAAGACTCCCCACTAACTCGATTCATTCCTGGCAACAGTTCGCGGAGCTTTACCTCCAATAGTAGCACTTTTCAGATCCATCTAATAAAGCTTAATCTTCAAACAACATACAACAGCCAACAACAATCTGATTGATTCAAGTCTAGTTACTAGAGAAAAAGTCTCATCAAAGTCTACTCCTACTTGAGTATATCCTTAAGCAACAAGTCTGGCCTTGTTCCTTACAATGTTTCCAAACTCATCAGACTTGTTCTTAAATATATATTTTTTCCCAATAACATTTATTCCTTCAAGTCGAGTAACCAAACTCCAAACATCATTCCTCTCGAAGAGTTCAAGCTCTTTATGCATGGCAGCAATCCAACAATCATCCTCTAGCACTTGTTTGGCATTCTTAGGCTCTGCAGGAGAAACATAGCACAAGTGGTTAATTTCACTTAACCTTCTCCTTCTAGTAACTATTACCTCTTCGGGTTCTCCAATCACAATGGATGGTGGATGAACCTTCTTGATCCAAGATGGTGGTCTTTTCCTTGTTGAAGTCTTTCTCTGGGTGATCTCATCAGATAGATCAACAATTAATTCCAATCCTTCATTTTAAGAAACTGATCCTTATTGAGCTCCAGTTGTGTTCATATCAGATGAAGATGTCAGCACACTTGCATGAGCTTCATGAGGGTCAAATGTGTTCACATCCTCTTGACTTGTAGTCACATCGTAGGGAGCAGTCATGTCACCAATTTCTTCTTCCTAAGAAGACTCTGGGTAATCTTTTGAATCAGAGAACACAACACTAATTGATTAAGCTCTACTGTTGGAAGAATATCCAAGGAATACACTTTCATCACTCTTAGAGTCAAACTTTCGTAAGTTTTCTCTATCATTTAACACATAGCACTTGCATCCAAAGACATGAAAACATGAGAGATTTGACTTTTTACCTTTTCACAGTTCACAAGGAATTTATAGAGTACCTTTTCTCAAAAACACCCTATTGGAGATGTGGCATGCAGTGTTGATTACCTTAGCCCACAATCTCTTAGCAGCATTTTGGCATTTAACATCACTCTGGCCATCTCTTGAAGGACTCGAATCTTTCTCTCCGCTACACCATTCTATTGATGTGTCGGGTAGAGAATTCATGCCTAATGCCCTGCATATCACAAAAATTAGAAAAATGAGCATTCTCAAACTCCTTCCCATGGTCACTTCTAATTCTTACTACTTTATTCACCAAACAATTTTGTTCAACTTGTAACTTTTTAACCAAGACTTGAAAAGCATCAAAAGCATCATATTTTTCTGTTAAAAAATCAATCCAAGTAAACCTTGAAAAGTTATCAA